TGTTTGTTTTATAAATTCATGTCTTTGTACTGGTCTATGACTGTAATAAAGATTGAACTGAACTGAAGTTCATGATGACTGAGAAACGTTTGAGGTACAGGAATGCATTTGATTAGTCATGTATTTGTTTTTTGACAATTCATCTACTTTCGCACAGCTTCCACAGGAGCTGCCCTAGTATTTTTTTCTCCCCAAACAATGGACCTCTCTCCCACCACGTTACAAATACATGGATAGAAGTTCACGGAGCATAGAACAGAGGGAATGCTAGAAATGTTTTTTCCTACACTGAGGCACAGACTTGGTGAAACTTGAGAGAGAGGAGAAGTCATTCTGTTATTGGCTGCTTGAAAAGATAATAAGAAAGGTCTTGATTCCCTGATAGTTCTTTGTGCTGTGCTATTGACCACAATGAATAATTGCTGATTAACTGACAATCCTCTGTAAGCACTAGACTCGCAACGTATAGACATGCTGCTATGGTCATGTTTGATATCTACATGACTGATCTGCAAATAGTCCAGAACAACACAGTTCAATCTCAGAAGCCTTTTAAATAGGGTGGACAAGGACTGAGAGTAGGAAAGGTCACCTGGAAGAACTCTTAAGCCTCTCTTAAACCTTTGACTCCCCCCCCCCATGACAATCTTAACACCACCATGTATTCTCAGAAGCTGGGGAAAAGTGTTGGTCCCAAAATGATTGCCTCCCCTGATCAAGATGAAAATAAATGAATCTGTCTTTGGGGTGGCATGAGGGAACTTCTACTGTTAGTACTATCTGACCCTAATAACAATCATGTACTTTAGTCTTTAGGATATGATATGAAATATACTTAATACTCTCACATTTGATAGTAACCCCTCTTTTGCCACTCGAGCAGAAATTTTGAGATAACATATATCTTGCCCGTTAATCTAAGCTATATAATCAGTCAAAAATGAACCACTGTGAAATTAATAACACAGAGACGTGTCAGATGCACAGTGATCTTTGCACTGCTGCTGCATCTGAACTTAAACCACAAGACTTTGTCCTTCCAGCCAGCACTCCAGGAGTTACAACTTGCCGGGCTCCTGCCCATCCTACACTTTATAAATCACGGTTGCAATAGATACACTATCTCCAAGTGGCACTCCATTGATAAATTTGGCATCCCTTTGACAGCTGTATCCTGTTCCCACGATGGGCAAAACATTTTAAAGTCATGTAAGTGAATCATTAGAAGTCCTTGTCATTCATCCCCGAAATGCCATTTTTCCATCTTCAGATAATACAGCTTTCACCAATGGTATAATATCCCAGGCTCTGATATAAAGTGGGTTCACCGGCCTTTGATCCTCCTCTCTTTGTTAAATACAAAAAGGTCCAGGAGGTTCAGGGTAGCCCACACAATTTAAATTGCTTTTCTGTGTTGCATTCTGATTCTCCCTGGCACGAGATTGGAATGGAGAATCTAAAACGTGAATGGATGTGTGGGAATGGGTTACCCACAAGCTACTTCCCCTTATGAAACCCTTGCATAGTTTCATGTGAACCAATGCAGCTTGACATTTTATTTTGGTTGCTCTGACAGACAGAGTGAGGGCAAAAAAAAAAATCCACCTGTCCACTCTACAATTTGCACAATATCCTCAAGCCAATCATGATGATGTATTGTTTTTAATGCTGGCATTTGGTAGTCCATGTAGTTTATCTATCAGGGCTATGCAGAGATCTGGATTTCAAGGGCAAACTGAAATTCAGAGAACATGTGGGTGTGCATGTCATGCTCGTTGGGATCCCCTTAAAGCAGCTGCAGCTGATACACAATCCTGGGAAAAGGCACACTGGTTTTCCCCACAGTTGCCATAGCATGCCTTCAAGGGCATCCATTGGTGAGGGAGGGGCTCCAAAAGTCAGGATGGCAGCCATCACCACCCAGGTGAAACCCCATTCCTTTCTGCATGTGTTACAGCATGCAGAAAAAGGGAATGGAACTTTGACTGGATCACAGTGTGTGCTCTGAATATGGATCTTTGTTCAGCCATATTAGCTATCAGGGATCTACTAACTCTCCTCCTCTTCCTATTTGCATGGAACTGCAGATACAAGACAGCTTTTGAGCAAGTGCTGGCCATACAATACATGGCGAAGGGGCTACATATGATTTAGCCTGTTACAAATGTTGTGGACCCTAATTCAAAGCATGCAAGAAATATATATTTATAAGCAATACCTTTAAAATAAACCTTTCTACCTATCCTCTTACCTTTCCACGAATCCAGTGCAGAAATACAGGCCTTTTTAAAGCAGCAAGAAGCTCTTCTTCAAATAGTTTATCTTTGTTTTTTTGCTGAAAAATGTCTTTTGTTTTGGGACGTTCATTTACATTTTCAAGTATTACATCTGTAATCTGGAAAGGCAAAAAAATTAAGATAGAACAACATAATCCATCTTGCAGTGGGAGTTTATTTCCTAAGACTTAACTTCTCTTTTCTTCAACTATTTTTCAATATGTATTTTCTGTTTTATCTGTACAGTGATTATATACATTGAAGTGGCTTTTCAAAACCAGTGTGTAACCTGCAACTTCTATTGTGGTTATTGCAAACCATGGATGCAGATCATTCAGTTTTCATACAGATGGCCAAAGACAATGATGAGTTCACACAGCACACTAACCTATAATGTGGTTTATTTGTTTTTGGCTTACTATGATGCGATTGTACAAATCTGCCGTTTGTTCTATTAGATGAGAGTTTACACAAGAATCCTGAAATGGTTAAAAATCTATATAACTGGTAGATCTTCCCCAGTGAGCCTTAAATATTGGAAAATTCCAAACAGAATCTCTAGATGTCTCACTTGGCTTCAGTTCTCTAACCTTGAGCTCTGACAACCTTGAGCATCTGTTTAAGCCTGCATCCCTACGCACTTCTTAGAAAGCATGTACCACTACAGGATATGCCATACCAAGCATGTACATTGTGGGCCATACTTTCTAAGTAAACAGTGCAATATGCAATGCCTTCAGTTTTAAAATACATCCTACATTTTCTATAAATAGATTGTAATCACATTTTAAATCTTGGTCCTATGTTATATTGACAACACTTTTGTTACCCAAATCAGAAAATGCCTTTAAAACATCATGTTGTGATAATTGCCTACCGCAATTTTGATCAACTGATCATCATCGTTATTGGGGTTTCTCCACACTAAGTTGACATCCACTCCAGATGAAATTCGATAGCCCACGCTCTCCTGGGGTAAACTTTTCACTCTGTCAATAAGAACTTGGGTGGAATAGGCAAATTTATATAATTTGTCATTGTTTATTCGTGGACCAGTATTGTGACCTATATGAAGAAAAAAAAGATAATTGTGGAAAATGTTGCATTAGTAATTAGCTAAAGTGCAAAGAAGCCACCGTATTATTTTCCTATCTCGAAAGCATGGCTTAAATATGAGAGATGACAGCCCTTGAACTTACGTCTGATCAGATTCACCGCCAAGATTCCTCCTACTAAAACTTAAGGGTCTTTCTAGATGCTTTTTAAATAAACTTCTGTGAACCATATTTGCACTAAAACTTTATTTGAAACTAGTCACCTACAATGAAAGAGTAATGGTGTAGCATACCCAAACCAGGTTTAAAAACAGGAACACTCTTGTATAGGAAAACCCTATTCCAACCAAAGCTTTCTGCTGAGCCTTCCTTCCTTGCTGAAGGAATCTTTCCCACTGGCAGCATTCTATAATACGCTGCTGGGCTGTAAACAGCATTTCAATAGTATTATTTCAACAACCTTTTCAATGGATGGCAGGGGTAGAGTTTAAAGCAGTGTTGTCCAAACTTGGCCACTTTAAGATGAGTGGACTTCAACTCCC